AGAGGGGGAGGCCTTCAACGAGATGGATTGACACAGTGGCTGCGATGATGGGCTCAAGTATAGCAGGGATTGTGGGGCTGGCGCGGGATCGGGCAGTATTTTGTTCTGCTGTGCATGGGGTTGCTATGAGTCGGAAACGACTCGATGGCACTTAACAACAACAACAGCCATGTGGATGTATAATTTGTATTTTTTAGCCTTCAAGTTTGATAAGTAAAAAATGGCTTTTAATGTCTGTAATTATTTGTGAGGTTCATCATTTCTGCAAATGTTTATTAGTCATTTTTCCTCCTTTTTTGAATTTGATTTCATATCCTCTTATTATTTGTGGCCTTAGTATTTTTTTCAAGTATGTTCTCTGTTAATAATAACTCTAAATTATATTTCTTGCAAATATCTTTACTCAGTAGTTTTACCTTTAAATTCAATTTGTATATTTGATAGTTTAGTTTTCTGTAGTCAACTGTACTGATCTACAAAATGCATGATGTGCAAAGCTATGTGTTAGTAGCCTGATGGTTCTATTTTTCATCCTCTTGTTTTCCAAGCAGTAGTGACTCAGGAATGAGGTTAAGGGGTTAACTTGTGGTGTGACTTCAGTCATTTCTCCAACACACAGATATTAACTAATACGTTTCTCCACTTCGATACAGTTCCTCTTCATTTGTGAATTTCTGAATTCTGTGTTTTTAATTGGAAAACTTTAGGAGCAGTGAAGTTATGGTTCAGTACATATTGAAGTTCCCCAAACCCCAAGTCAAGGACACTTGGAGCCTTCCTACTCTAACAGTGCTTCTCTTGCTTGTCTGCCAAACATAACTCTTGTCTTTGCCCCATTTTCATCCTCCAACCTGCTTTCTCCCTTTCCTCCCTTCCCTGTCTGAGCCTCCCAGGGCCACATGACAGTTGCCTACCTTGTCACTTCTGTCCCTTTCTTTCTTTTCGGCAGTGAAAGCGGCCCAGCAACTCCCCACGGTCACCCTGCAGCCTTTGGAAGGCACCAGCAGCAGCAGCCAGTCAGGCTCCACCAACAGCAGCAGTGAGTCGGCCTCCACCAGCAGCGGACGACAGGCCAGCCTCCCTCCAGCCCCGTCCCTTGCCTTTGTTAAAGGGCGTTGCATGCTCATCTCACGGGCCCGCTTTGAGGCAGACATCAGCTACTCCAAAGACCTGATCGCACTGTTTGAACAGCTGGATTCCAGGAATTACGGCAAGTGATTGGCCTCTGAGGACAGTTAGGTGTTTTTCTTTCTCTTGGAAACTATCCAAACAATAACTTTCTTGGTGGAGCCTTCCTGGTCTGGTCTTCTTGCTGTAGAGAGTTGGTGGGTGCCTAAATTGTCCTGAAATAGGACCAAACACGGGTCCCTGCCTGGTGCACAGTCAGGGCAAAATAGTTTACACACTGAGTGATTAAGAGGAGAGAAAATTATTTATTGCAAAGTGGCTGTAGGAGACAGGGGCCGTACCCAAATCTGACTCCCCGAATGGTGGTTGGGTTACAGTTTTTGTAAGTTTCAGGTGAGGGGGTTATACATATTCATAAAAACTTGGGCATGAATTAATTGAGGATTGGCTGAAATTTCCTTCACTTCGGTTTAAAGGGACAGCTGTTTTTTAATGCAGTATGCTTGCGCACCGGATGAGTCACACCAGCTTCCTGTCATCAGCTGATGGTTAGCAGAGGGGAGAACATCAGTTCCCAGCAACTTTGTTCCTGTTCCTCTCACTGCGCAAGGTGGGGTGGGCCAAGGTCACTTTTCAAGTTGTCTCCCAAAACACATTAACATACTTATCACCTGTTTCTAGGGGATAGCATGGAGACAATGTGTAAATTGACCTTTCATTCCATTCAGTTCTTAAGGAACTGAGTTATGTGTACTTACCTGCCTTCAACCGGGAATGCAGGCTGAACCGTTGACTTCACCCCCCCTTCAGTCCCAGATTGGGAATACTTAGTGGGGACTGTTTTGTCCTTAAAGGACTCCCCAAGAGACCAGTTCCCATCCACTTGACTGTGACTCATGGTGACCCCGTGTGTGTTAGAGTAGAACTGTGCTCCATAGGGTATTCAATTTTTTTTTTTTTTAAGTAAATCGCCAGGACTTTTTCCCTAGGTGCATCCAGGTGGTCTCGAACTGCCTTTTGGTTACCAACCGAGCACATTAACCATTTGCACCACCTGCTTTGATAAGGACAAAATAAAGATAGGTGGGTTTAAGTGACTGAAGCAGAATTTAGGAGATTCTTACAAGAAGACATTGACAGGGAGGCTGGAGAGAGTTATAGGGGCTGTTTTGTCCTTAAAGGCTTCCCAAAGAGCCGAGCCCACATTTTCCCCAGTCTAACTGGTCAGTGTCTTCTTGGTGGAATCTCCTAAACTCCTGCTTCAGCCATTTAAACCCATCTGTTTTCGTTCAGTCCTTACAGGGATGGGAAAACAGGTGGTTGCCATAAAAAGAAATGCCTTTCTGTAGACCAAGATGGAGGTTTTCAAACTAGAAAGGCAATGGAACCACCTGGAGGGCTTGATAAAAACACCATCACTGGGTCACTGGACTCCACCTCCAGAGCGTCAGATTCACCATCTGTAGGGTGGGGCCCAGTAATTTGCATTTCAAACAAGTTCCCAGTTGAGGCTGGTAGCTAAAACACAGAGAAGTCAAGTAACTTGTTTAAGATCACACAGCTCGAAAGTGGCGGAGCTGAAATTTGGACCTGGGCAGTTTGGTACTGTTCTGGGTGTTACAGTGAAAATGTTGGTTTCATGGTTCCCCACTGGGAACTTAAAACATCCTAATGCCTGGCTCTCTGCTCTGGGATGCTGATTTCAATGGTTGGAGGTGGGGCCTGGGCATTAGTTTTTTACAAATCTTCAGGTGAGTGTAATAATTAACCAGGACTGTGAGCCACTGACCTGCACTGGGAGCTCTTTATTTTTCTCCCAAGAAGAAGGCAGAAGTCAGCTTTAAAACTCTGGGTTTCATTCTTAGCTTGGGCCACATTGTTATTAAAAATGATGTGGCTTTTATGGATCAGTGTTTTCTCCTTCTCGAAATGGTTGTAGTCTTTTCCTTACACACCAAAACAAACAAACAAACAAACAAACTGCCATCATGTCGGATCTGACTCATAGTGACCCCTCCTTGGGTTTCTGAGGTTGGGCAATCCTACTTCCGTAGTGATACTGCCTCGGAAACCCAAGGAGGGGTCGCTATGAGTCGGGGCCGACTCGACGGCACATAACAACAACAACAACAACATCACTATGGAAGTAGATTGCCCAGTCTTCCTTCCGAGGAGAGGCTTGTGGATTTGAACTGCCAGCCTTCTGGTTAGCAGTCAAATGCCTTAGGCACTATGCCACATCGTGTTCAGGGCACATCCGGGGTAAGACTCTGTTGAGTGCTTAGTGAAGAACTTTGTCCAGGGCTTAGGGCTTCCTCAGGATGAGAAGGCTGTGGGTGGGTCACTTACTCCCTCAAGTGGAAAGCCTTTTAACAGATTGGAGCAGGTTGTAAGCAGGGCTTATGTCTGGTCACGGGATGAGCCACACTCAAGGGACCGGAGTCTCTGCTGCCCACCCCCTCCCATGTTCAGCTTGGGGTGACTCTTAAAAGACAAACAGACATAATCTGTGTTTGTCATCAGCCTTTGAAATCACATTCCTGACACTGTCTGCTATTAATGCCACCTTCTGCCCCACCCAGATACCCAAAAGCCTTCATGGAAACTTTGTTTTTTGCTGTAATTGTTTTCCACAGAGGTTTGCTTGCTACTCAGCTGCTGTTGGGGTCGGGCAGTCAGGGGGAATCTCCCTGTCCTTTTTCCACATTGAAGATTAGCCTATCAGCTTCTGGTCTTTCCACTAGGTGACACCTAGGCAACCTCGCTTTTTTCTTAAAACTGACTCACTGTGTCCAGGATACTTTTTTTCTGACCACCATGCTATCAAATAACCATACTGGGAAGAAATAACTTTTTCTGCCACACAGCATTTTTTGAATCCAAGCATTCTTGATTTTTTAAGGAAGCAGATTGATCAAGAAGTCCCCTCAACTTAGATAGTTAGCTGCTCTTGAGTAGTGACTTGCTCACCTACCCTTCTCAGTTATACTGGGTGTAGTTTATGCTACACTAATCAGCAGATGTTGTTATGTGCCATCGAGTCATTTCCGACTCACAGTGACCTTACGTACAACAGACTGAAACACTGCCTGGTCCTGTGCCAGCCTCACAATCCCAACTGTACTTGAGCCCATTGCTGCAACCACTGTGTCAATCCATCTTGTTGAGGGCCTTGCCCTCTTTCGTTGACCCTCCACCTTATCAAGCATGACATCCTTCTCCAGAGAATGGTCCCTTCTGACAACAAAACAAAAGGAGGTGAGATGAAGTCTGACCATTCTCGCTTCCAAAGAGCATTCTGGCTGCACTTCTTCCAGGACAGATTTGTTAGTTCTTTCAGAAGTCCATGGTACTTTCATCATTCTTCGCCAACACCACAACTCACAAGCATCAACTCTTCTTCAGTCTTCTTATTCAATCAGCAGATGGCCTGATAGTAATAACTTGTAACTTTTTTTGAGTGTTCATTGTTTGCCAGGTGCACTTTTATAAGATTTTACCTTCAAAGGTTAAGTTATGCTCCCAGTAACCCTGTGAAGTACAGCTATAGTATCCTCATTTTTCAGACGTGGTAGCTAAAACACAGAGAAGTCAAGTAACTTGTTTAAGATCACACAGCTCAAAAGTGGCAGAGCTGAAATTTGGACCTGGGCAGTTTGGTACTCTGACCACATGTAGCAATTTCCTTACATACAAAGTGGAGCTAATCCCAGTGCCCACCTTACAGGATTGTCAGAGGCAGATGAAATGATGCCTGCAGATCTTTTGGCACCTGGCTTAAAATGTAAGCTGTGATTATTATCCCTGTCTTGGAAATCTGGGTATTTTTGACCTGCTGGGCCATCCCCAGTCATTAACTCTTAAAAAAAACAAAGCAAATTCACTATTGTCGTCGAGTCAGATCCGACTCATTGTGAGCCCTTCTTGGGTTTCTGAGGTGGTATCTCTACAGAAGTAGATTGCCCAACCTTCCTTCCAAGGAGTGGCTGGTGGGTTTGAACCGCCAGCCTTTTGGTTGGCAGTCAAATGCCTTAGGTGCTATGCCACCAGACCTCCTTGCTTATAGAACCCTTTATCACGACTCTTACAACACAGTCTTAGAGCCTCACTGCCTTCTGTCTTTCTTCCCTAACTGCTATGAAAGCCTCAAGGGCAAATACTCTATATCCCAAGCATCAAGCACTGGGTTGCATAGTCTGAGCTTGATGGAGGCTTGTGAAAGCTGGGAATAAAGAAGTGTGGTGTCAGAGCAGGAGGGCGTGGTGTCATGCCTGCTCATTTGTTTATTTTCTCATTGCAGATGTCCAGACCAGGAAATGGAACTTCCTCTTGCAAGAGCACAACAAACTAAGTGAGATGCCCACCTGCTTGTTTTATGTCATGCTGCTGTTGAGTTTTAATAAGCTGCCTTAACTTTGATGTATTTGAAAGACTGTCATTTTCCCTCTGCTGCAGTAACTTCAGTTGCTTGGGTGCTGGGCATGTAAAGCTGCAAATGCTTGAGGGCAGCTCCTCAACAGCCCAGGCATCTCAGGGCCTCCTCCCCCACAAGAGAGGTACCAGATAGTAAAATTCCCCAGGCCTTAGGAACCTTCCTGCCTGTCATGGAAGTGAGGGTATGAGGGCTTGGGAATCAGATGAGTGGAATTACTTCAGTGACTTCGAAGCTGCCAACTTCCTTCTAGGACAGATGATCAAGGCAGGTCTCAGTGGTTAGGGGCTTTATAATAGGCTGAGTTCTGCCAGATGCGCATGTTAGACTGGGAGCGTAAGCATTTTAGTAAGCACAGTAGGGATGGACCTAAGGAAGGGGTGTGTGACCAGATACCCTACCTTGAAGAAACAGCTCAGCCTCTCCTGGAACGTCAGTCTCTAATGCATCTTTTAAGCTGTAATGATTCTGCAGTGGGTGTAGGGCTGGTGCAGCCTTAGTTCCTCCTTTTTGATACCCCGAGGGCTTGTGGGCCCCCCAGACAGTTGTTGTTGTTGTTGTTATGTGCTGTCGAGTTATAGCGACGCCTCCTTGGGTTTCCGAGGCAGTATCACTACAGAAGTAGGATTGCCCAACCTTCCTTCCGAGGAGTGGCTGGTGGGTTTGAACCGCCAGCCGTCTGGTTAGCAGTCAAGTGCCTTAGGCATTATGCTACCAGAGCTCCTTCCCAGACAGTGGGAGGAGGAGTCATTTGTTAGGATCAGTGAAGCAGTTAAGCTGTAGCAGACCTGAGGCACTGGCTGTCCTACCGACCAGGCTGGGGCTTCAAGGAAGAGGGGAAAGCTGATTCCTTCCTTTCTCTCCTTCTCAAGTGTGACTTACTGTGTGACATCGGGCAATTCACCCTTCTGGATTTCATTTGTCCCTTCAGTAAGAGAGGAAGTTCTCAGTGTCTGTCTGCCTTGCTGACATAGGAATAAAATATAAGGAAAGAGCTTTTGATTGTGTGAGGACAGGCTTGCTGTCAACTACAAGGTTAAGTTTGAATATGATGGGAGACTTATGTGGTGTCAGTAAATGCTGCCTGGGAGTCCCAGGGTGATGCAGACACACTGGCCTCTTAACTGAAAGGTTGGAGGTTCAGTCCACTGGGGAAGCACCTTGAAAGGAACGCCTGGCAATTTACTTAAAAATCAGTCATTGGAAACCCTGTGGAGCACAGTCCTGCTCTGATGCCCCTCTGAAGAGGTTGCCATGAGTCAGCCTCGACTGGACGGTGGCTGGACTGGTGAACGCTGGCGGAAGCAGAAAGAGTGGCCTGTGCCGATCTGACACTCGTGATTCAGAGGAAATTCTTTGTCCAGAGCTGAATTTTTGATAGGTAAGGGAGTGAATTCTTCCCTCTGGCCTCTTGTCTCTCAGCCGCAGAAATAGATATAAATGTGTTAGCTGTAAAGGCTTTGGCTTTTATGGAACAACAGAGAAGATACTCATAGCATTAGCAGATGAAGGTGATGCTGAAAACCAAGGCCCATGACTCAAGCGGTGTTTATAGAGTAACGGTTCCTAATGTCCTGTGGCAAAATCAATGAAAATAATGGCTTCGTCACCAAGAAAAATGCACAGAGTGGCCGCACACAGAATTCTGTGTTTGGTTTTAATCGTTGCTTGGATCTGAAGTTTCAGAATCCTAGGTTTAGAGTTCAGACTGATTCTCTTTGTCATCTCATCATTACAGTGTCTGATGGAAAAAAGACTGACTCTCCCACTTCAGAGATTGGCCAAAAAAAAAAAAGCCTGGGCCCAGAGAAAGGAAGAACTTGCTTTCCTTAAGCAGCTCAGAATCACAATGAAGTCGGTGACAGAGATGAGACTAAAATAGTTACCTTGCGTGTGTAACCTAACCTGGGATGGCATGTGGAAGCCAGATGCCTGGACTGAAAAACCAGGGAAGGAGGCACCGCAGAATACAGCAGGGACCCAAGCTGAGGTCTGTTTCTAGATTCACATATTGTAAAGCAGGGGGAGTTTGCAGCTGTCTCTCTATTCACCCTGTTACAGCTCTGGTGGCACAGTGATTAAAGAGCGTGGCTGCTAACCAAAAGATTGGCAGTTCGAACCCACCAGCAGCTCTGTGGGAGGAAGACGTGGCAGTCTGCTTCTGTAAAGATTTACAGCCTTGGAAACCCTGTGGGACAGTTCTGCTCTGTCCTGTAGGGTCACCATGAGTCAGGATTGACTCGGTGGTGGTGGTGGGCTTGTTTTTGGGTTTTCTCCTCCCCCTAGGTTTCGGTTCCTCAGGTGTAAGATTAGATGATTGACTCTGAGCTAGTGAATGTGCATATGGAACTAACAGATGATAGTAAGCCCTCCTGAGTCTGTGTGCTCGCTGACGACATGGTAGTGATGGTTTACTGAAGGCAAACCTACCAGCCCCTCCTCTCTTTTCTTAGTGACTGGAGGCTTCTCGCCCACAATGAAGGTGGCATGAGGCCTTTTGTTTACTCCCGGCTGTCACAGTCCAGAAGGGTTCTGTATCCCCCTCCAGAATCTTGTCTCGTCAGTGGCTGTTTGAAAACATCTCTCTGCTGTATGGCTCAGTCACTCTCTGCCCAAGAGCTACTTTACAGAAATGACTTCTGGATGACTCACAGCACCAGATAACATATTTCTGTCATCTCCCCAGCACTGGGAAAAGGACAGTAGAAACAGACACTCAATGATAGTGAATGGTGGCTTTCTCAGAAAAATACCCAGCTGGCTAAAGTCGCAGCTTAGAATTTTGGAGAATAGCGGTGGTAGGAAATAGAATCGAGGTTGTTTTTTTTCCCCTCTCAAATGGCTGGAAGAAGATAATGCTTACAAAGCAGCCATTTCATACTGGCCAGATCATCAGCCCTTTCTTGGCTTTTGTCAGGTGTTTCAGTTCTGAAGATCACCAGGATGAAACTGAAAATCGTTTCTGAGAGCAGTGGAGTTCTTAGGCTCCTGAAGTGTGCAGGAGTCAGCATGCTCGGATTTAATGTGCATATATAAACTGTGTCTCCACATCAAGATGGACAGTCTCTTTTATATTAAAGCCTCAACCTTACCTAATTTCCTATCACGGTGATTCTGTTCACGGACTCTGTTTCCAGAAATAACTGGTGTTTTGTTAGTAAAGGACAGAAATGGATTTCAATATGTTGGAAATACAAAGCAATTTAAGGCAGCAATAGATGGGTCAGCCCTCCATTTGGTTGTTGTGACAGTAGACTTGGAGTCCTCGTGAGGATATCAAGAAAACACAAGACTGTAGAGAAGAGGGAACCAGCAGCCTTAGAATTTCAAATAACAGTGAATAGAAATGAAATACTCTTGTTTCTTTTTCTTTCCCTTTACTGGATCCCAGAGAATGCTTAGACTCATGGTGGATTACTGTGACTCTGCCAGGTTGCCCCTGCTAAGATAAAGGAGAAAGAGCAGTTGAAGATTTATAAGCAGTGGTTGCTCTTCTAATTAGAGTTTTCGAAGGAGAGTGGGGAAAAGGAGAATGTCCTGACAGCTCCAGTCCACAGCAGAGTGTTGTCGGTAGTTTAATGATACTTCTATCACTAGGAATCTCCACGTCCATCACCTTTTCCCTTTTCCAATTTTAACTGGTCTTTTTTTCCTGTGCGAGAATTGTATGTTTCAGTTATATCTCCATTTTTTTCTATCTCCCTATTGGATAATTAGGACCTCTGGTAGCATAGTGCCTAAGGCATTTGACTGCTAACCAGAAGGCTGGCAGTTCAAGCCCACCAGCAACTCCTTCTCAGAAGGAGGGTTGGGCAATCTACTTCTGTAGTGATACCACCTTGGAAACCCAAGGAGGGGTCTCTATGAGTCGGATACGACTCGACGGCAATGAGTTTGGTTTTTTTGGTTATTGAATAATAAGGAGCTCTGGTGGCACAGACTGCTAACCAGAAGGTTGGCAGTTCAAACCCACCAGCCGCTCCAAGGAAGGAAGATGGGGCAATCTGTCTCCGTAAATACTTACCACCTCGGAAACCCAGTGGGGTCTCTATGAGTTGGAATTGACTCGATGGCAGTGGATTTGGTTTTATTGAATAAAGCTTTTTTTTTCCTCTTAGTTTTAAATCAAATGAGACTAATTTTTTTGAAAGGCAGAATCAATTTATTAATTTGCTTTGATTTCTGTGTAGATCCCAAGTAAGTTATTTTTCCCGCCTGAGTGAATAGCCTTCCCTAACAGAAGAGATCTGCTCATCTGTTAGAGTCCAGGACCAGCACACTTGAGCGTAAAGCAAACCCACTGCCACTGAGGGGATTGTGACTCAGCCACCCCACAGGATAGAGTAGAACTGCTCCATAGGGTTCCCAAGGCTGCAGATGTTTACAGAAGCAGACTGTCACATCTTTCTCCTGTAGAGCGGTTGGCGGGCTTGAACCTCCAGCCTTTTGGTTAGCTGCCACCAGGGCTCAGCCCCAAAATGTAAGCTTTAATTGAAAGAGGAGAGTGATGGCTCAGTAATAGTTTCGACTTCAAGCTTAGCAGGATGGGAACTCTGGTGGTGTAGCGCCTAAAGCACTTGATGGCTAACCAGAAGGCTGGCGGTTCAAACCCACAAACCACTCCTTGGAAGGAAGATTGGGCAAGCTAGAACTGTAGAGATAACTGCCTCAGAAACCTAAGGAGGGGTCACTATGAGTCGGAAATGACTCGATGGCAGTGAGTTTGGTTTTTTGTTTGGCAGCTTAGCAGGAGTCAGCAAACTTTTTTTGAAAAGGGCCAGATAGTAAATATTTTAGGCTCTGCAGGCTGTGTGGGCTCTGGCACAGCCACTCAGCTCAAATGAATTGGTTTGGCTGTGTTCCAATAAAATTTTGTTTACAAAAACTGGCAGCTCAATTTGGCTTATAGGCTCTCATATGCCAGTCTGCTTTAGCGGGTAGATATGGAGCGATCAAGTCACCTCTAGATGAACAAATTCTCCAGCTGCTTTGCCACACAGATCACTGCTGTAAAGTTCATCTCTTTCAAGGGAAGATATTTATTCTCTCATAAAAAGGGTAAAAAATTTGCAGGGCCACTTGGCATTTTTATCAGTTTGTGTCTTTTGCATCAACTTCTTTTTTTTTTTAAGTAGCGTTACATTTCTGCTATCTATCATCCTTCCAAGGAGCTCTGGTGGCTCAGTTCAAGCATTCGACTGCTAACCAGAAGGTTGGTGGTTTGAACCCATCAGCCACTTGGTGGGAGAAAGACGTGACAGCCTGCTTCTGTAGGGTTACAGCTTCAGAAACCCTATGAGGCAGTTTTACTCAGTCCCATAGGGTCACTAGGAGTCAGAACCGACTTGATAGCAGTGGGTTTGCTTTGGGTTTGGATCATCTTCTAGCGTACAGGGTTTCCTTGCCAATTCACAGTAGGGAACTTAGAGTTCTTTGCCTTCTCAAACATCAAAACCACCAAGATAAAATGTAAAGAGAATGGGAAAAAGATAAATTTACTCAGGATTTGGTTTTTCATAGTTCTTTTTGGACAAATTTTTGTTTTGATTTGTGACTGGAGTGACATTCGCCGTCCTACCCCTGTTCACCTTGAGTGCCTGTCTGTGTATCCACTCGTCGATTGTTGTTGCTGTTCCTGCAGGATTGGGCATGGCATAGTGCTTCCCTTCGCTGCCTTTCTCTCTTGTGCCCCTCCCGGCGTCTCCCTTTGTGCTCGTCATTTCTTGCTGACTCGCTTTTACTGCATTGCCTTTCTCTGCACCCGAGTTAACACATGTCTACCTTCTAGCCAGCGATCTTTCAGAATATGGAAATACTGTGGTGGATTTTTTGAAAATTGCTTTTGGTTAAAAAAGATCAGTCACGAAACACGTCATGGTTCTTTCCAGCATTTGTGTGTGTAGCAAATATATTTGCCATTGTGTGCTGCCCTCTTAATTGAAGAAGTTCAACAGGGAAACCTGGTGATCTAGATTCATGTCCTTTGCCTGGGCTGTAACTGTCAGCCTCAGTTTCCTCTTCACTTAACCTTTTTGACAGGATGACATGTAGTAGAATTCTGGGTTACTGCTCTTGGTGTATCGAAGCCCCTTCTTTTCTTAGATATTTTGGGAATTAATACTCCAGCTCACGTGACTGTGTTCTTCTTTCTAGTTGAAAGAGTGCGCTGCCTCCCACAAGTTCAGCTGGATCCTCTGCCCAAGACAATCGTCCAGGCTTTCGCTTCTCAATTTGAGAAGACGTCTCCTCATCTCACAGCAGATGTTCCTGAGGCAGACCTTTCCGGAGTGGACTCCAAGCTTGTAGCCAGTCTGATGCCCTTTCAGAGAGCTGGCGTCAAGTACGTCCTTCATCTTCCTCTTGCTTTCTCCCTTGAACCTGATCACTCACCGTGCACTGAGTTCTTTTCATGAGCGCATCTCTTTCACGGACGTCTGGGACCGTCTAGGTGTTAAACAGCCAAATGTACTGTTACCAAAGCTTTATTGGAATGATTGATTTCAAATTCCATGGGTGAATCAGGACTCTGGGTTGCAGGTATGCAGAAACCCAGCTCAAATTAGTTCAAGCAAAAAGACTTACCAGCAAATATCATAGAAAACACAGGGTCTCAGAAGGTCTCGTCAGGACTCTGTCCCCCTTTTGGCTCTGCTGCTGCTTGGTGTGCTTGGTTCCCAGCCACGTGCTCCACGACTGTAGCAGCCAAGGCTGCCAGGGGCTGGCAGCTTACATTGTATCAGCTTAGCAACCAGCAGAAGCACCTCTCTCCTAAGGGATCTGGTGCCAACCCCAGAGCCAGTCATGGTGGCATGAAACGCTTGGAGTGTTGTTGGTTAGATCTGGTGATAGACTATCCCTGGGGCCAGAGGCTGGAGTCTGTCCCACATGAATTCCTCAGACTAAGAGTGAGAGGGGTGGTTCTCCAAAACAAATTTAGGGTGCTCTTAAAGAGAGAAAAACATGAACCCAAGTTCTGACCTTTTTTTCTGGAGTTTCTCAGGAGAAGTGGGAAAAAAAAACCACTGCCATCGAGTTGTTTCTGACCCATAGTGATCGATCCCCATTGGGTTTCCAAGACAATCTTTATGAAAGTAGATTGCCCCATCTTCCTCCCACAGAGTGGCTGGTGGATTTGTACTACCAGCTCTCTGCTTAGCAGTCAAATGCCTTTAGGCACTACACCTCCAGAGCTCCTTCTTGTTGTTGTTGTTGTTGTTATGTGTTGTTGAGTTGGACCTGACTCATAGTGACCTCTCTCTGGGTTTCTGAGGCAGTATCACTACGGAAGTAGATTGCCCAACCTTCCTTCTGAGGAGTGGCCGGTGGGTTTGAACCGCCAGCCTTCTGGTTAGCAGTCAAGTGCCTTAGGCACTATGCTACCAGAGCTTCTCCAGAGCTCCTTGTTGTTGTTGTTATGTGCCGTCGAATCGGACCCGAGTCATAGCGACCCCTCCTTGGGTTTCCGAGGCAGTATCACTACAGGAGTAGATTGCCCATCTTCCTTCCGAGGAGTGGCTGGTGGGTTTGAACCGCCAGCCTTCTGGTTAGCAGTCACGTGCCTTAGGCACTATGCTACCAGAGCTCCGTAGGAGAAGCAAAATAACAGGTTTAAACTTGTCTTTTAATGAAAATACAGGAGGCCAAGGAGTGCAAAGAGGACATCTTAAACAGTCCACCTGGAAATAAGAATTAGATCTGTTATTAGGCAGTGCGGTTGGAAGTAAGAGTCTTGTTCAAGGGAAGGAACCTAGATTATCAGCTGAACAGTCTTGAGACAGCCTGCTTGCTTGTGGCCTGATCAGAGCAGGGCTTCCAGCAGGTTCATTCTGAGAATCGCCTTTCCACCCCCGATATGCTGAACCACAATCTACATTTTAACAAGGTCCCAGCTGATTCTTCCGTATACCTAATTCTTACATAATACCTGGTTCTTAGTTATACAGAGGAATCACCTGGGGCTCTTGCTAAACTGTAGATTCTGATGCAGTGTAACTGCGATGGAAAGGCAGATTCTCGGCAGGGGGTCGAACTGGAATGAACCAGTTCAAATCACTGGATTGGGGTATTTTGCCCAAAGCTTGGCTGCTGTCGGATGGGATACTGTCCTTTGTGGGCAGTTCGGGCCCCGCTCTGCCTCATCCTCTGCCTTCCATCCTCCATCTCTCTTAGATTACACACTTGGTACCGTTTCATCTTGCTTTACAGTTTCAGTCCTCCATCTGCTGGGACACATTTGGGCCTCGTTTTAAACAGGCTCAGGGTGCTTCTTTCCCACCCCCACCGTGTCCCTGAGCATCAGGTTCTTCCGGGCTCCTCTGGAGATGCTGGATCCGTGTGCTGAGTGCCGGTCTTGCTGCTAATCCCATCCCTCTGGAGAGAGGCCGTGTATGTACGTGATCCCCACAGTAGCAGCATTAGCAGGAGAAGGCCAACAAGGCCAACAGGTAGTCTTTGCTGTGAAGCTGTTAGTGGCACTTGTAGCTTTTCTTCTAAACTTTGTAATCAAATCGAGATTTTACCTTTCGTCCTCTGAAGAGGAGAGTTTGATATTGGAGAAGGGAGCTGTCTATTCCGTGGCTTTTGTTTTTCTTTTATGTAGGAACTGTAATAAAAGCACCTTTAAAATCCCTTAGGTGTATATCTGCTTCCTTAAGTACTTAAATGGCCCTGTCCAGCAGATGAATGAACTGAGGCAGAATCATTTGCCTAAAGTCACTCGATTTGGCAGCAGTGAAACCAGGGCTTAACTCTATGTTTCTGATGTTTTCCTGTTAGACCTGGTCCCCCTGGAGATGATGACATTTCAGCTGTGTTTATGTTTCTCTGGCATTTGGGCCTTTTTTTCCTCTTTGTTCTCATTTTTAACCACTTTGTCCCCTAATTGGACCACCGCAAGGCAGGGAAAACAGAAAGCATGTGAAATTCATGAGGTCCGTTTTGCTTCAAGCATGACTACATGGACCAGACCCTGTGGAAACTATGAGTGGTGAAGCCAAAGAACCAGAAACAAAAGACATTCAAAGGATCAGGAGCTCGGTGGCTTTTGCTGCCCTTGCTTGTTCTCTGTCCTCCCTGGCTACCGATTTTGTAAATTAGACAGGAGGGTAAAAAATTTATCTTTTCATACCTGCCCTCCCCATCTGTCTGTGTTGTGGGCTGATGCCAGGAGTGATCTGGAAGATTCAGTAGAAGTTAGTGTGCAGAGAAGGGGCTGGCCTGTTCAGGAGCGGGTGAGATAGCCCACTGTGGTGGCCAAGGCCAGGGGCTGCTGGAACAGACCCTTCCTGTCACCAGAGTTGTGGCTGCAGGAAAGACCAAGATGCCATGTCGTGACCCCTCTCACCTCCTGTCTGCTGAGCCGTGGGCAGGCTGGCCTCAGGCCACTGGCCTCTGCTTTTCAGTGTTCATGGCTCTTGGGTCTGTGGTCTTGGGTGTTGGACATTGGCTCTAGAAGGGCAGAAACAACACCAGCTGATTTAGAAAGGCTGCATGCAGCCTAGAATTCTTCCAGCCATGGGAAAGGAGATTGGATGATCATCTAAAGCCCTAATGGAAGAGATTTCATTCTGTTCTGCTTTGTGAACAGGAAGGAGAAAGAGTCGATTGGCTTATTACCAGGTTCCTGAGCCAGTGGCCAATTTTTCAGTAATTCAGATGAAAGAGGGCTGGTGTTTGGAGCAGGAGACCAGATGTCTGGCATGCGGGCTCTTTTCAGCTTTTCACAGATTCATCTTGCAACCTTGAGCAAGTTCATTTTTACTGCTTGTGTTTTGGTCCTTTTTATGAAATAATAGTTACAATAGAAACACTTACCTAGCACTTATGATGGGACAGGTGCTGGTTTAGTCCTTTACCTGTTGACTTTGCTCTCCTCATAGCTACTCAGTGGGGCATGTACTGCTCCTGTGACTGTCTTATAGCCACAGGAGCTGAGGCACAGAGAGGTTAAATAACCTGCCTGAAGGTATAGGGCTGCTAGGTGCTGGGACTGGGGTTTCAGCCTAGGCCAGTCTGGCTCCAGAATAACCAGCTCAAACCAAACCCACTGCTATCGAGTTGATTCTGACCCCTAAAGACCCTGTAGGGCTGAGTGGAACTGCCCCATAGGATTTCCAGGGCTGTAAACCTTTACTGAAGCAGGCTGCCTCATCTTTCTCCCACAATACCAGTGAAGGTTCAAACTGCTGACCTTTTGGTTAATAGCTAAACGCTTAACCACTGTACCATGAGCACTTCTTCTGGAATAGCACGGTAAGCCCTTACTTACAGACTGTTAACAAGGGCTTCAGGACCCTGGAGGCCACTGTTTAATGAAACACTCTATCTGTACGGGAGTTTGTGTGTCCTCTTATGTAAACTCCCTTGCTGTCATGTTCTCTTCCTTCTCCAGCACTTTGTCTTTGCCAGCTCCTTCCTTAGGCTTTCTGCATACACAGCTTTCTCAGATCTTCAGAAAGCCTATTTTAGATCCATTGTCTCTTCTGACAGCTGCTCTTCTTCTCTTACCTCCTGGGAAGTGTTCTCAGTGAATGTGGGCCCTGCTTTAGTCCCTTCTCTGGTGGTGTAGTGCCTAAGGCATCTGACTGCTAACCAGAAGGCTGGCGGTTCAAACCCACCAGCCACTCCTCAGAAGGAAGACTGAGCAATCTACTTCTGTAGAGATACTGCCTCGGAAACCCAAGGAGGGGTTGCTATGAGTCAAATCAACTCTACAGCAGTGCATTTGGTTTTGGTTATGGATTGATTAGAGTTTCTGAGTGGAGCAAACAGTAAATGTACTCAGTTGCTAACCAGAAGGTTGGGGGTTCACATCCACCCTGAGGTGGCTCAGAAGAAAGACCTGTCAGTCCCTTCTGAAAAGTCAGCCATTGAAAAACTTGGTGGAGCACAGTTCTACTCTGACATGCATGGACTCACCATGAGTCAGAGCCACCTCCATGGCAGCTGGGTTAATGGACTCTTCATCACTCTCCATTCATGTTCCTTAGGCCTTGCCTGCATTGGAATGAGGCTTCCTCCTCTTGCTGGAAACTTTCTCCTCTGGCCTCCAGGACCTACGCATCTTCTAGATTTTCTCCTTACCTTTTGGGGCCACCATTTCACAATTTCCCTATTTTGACTCCCCCCCTCCCTTAATTCTACCCTTTACTTGGTTCCTGCTCTTTCCTCATTGGGGAGCAAGACCCTTGTGGCCTGTGCAGGGTAGTGCAGGAGCCCATGGAGAGTAGTGCTTATCCACTTTTTGGACGGCACATCACCTAATGTACCTGGAAACGTCCTGGGCTGCTGGCCTGACCTTGTCTCTTCTCAGTTTTGCCATAGCAAAAAGAGGCCGCCTGCTGCTCGCCGATGACATGGGCCTGGGGAAGACCATCCAGGCCATCTGCATCGCAGCCTTTTACCGGAAGGAGTGGCCACTCCTGGTGGTGGTTCCGTCGTCTGTGCGCTTCACCTGGGAGCAGGTCAGTTCTCCTTGTGTTGTAATGTTAATAAAAAAACCTGTCCTCCAGTGATCCTATAAGTGTATGTGTATGATCTGAATTCCCAGGTGTATAGTAGAGCTGACAAGGGGCAAGGTTGTAGTCACTCCTTGGTCACAGCCAGCTACCCAGAGGGACCAAGTAGTTGAACCTGTAGGCTGGGGACTATAGTCGCAGGGGACATCAAGCTCAATTGCCATAACATACTACACAAAACATTGTTCCACCTCCTGCTTTGGTGAGTAGCGACTGGGATCTTAAAAGCTTGCAAGCTGCCATCTAGATGCAACGATGGGTCTCTCCTCGTCCAGAACAAAGAAGAATGAAGAAAACCAAAAATTCATAGAAGCAATTAATCCTAGCAACTGGTACACCATGCGATCTGCAGCCATATGACTGTGAGACCAGAAGAACTAAATGGTGTCTGGCTACCAATGTTAACCACTTGGAAGGGGATCTATGTAGGAGATCCTGGATAGAGAGGGAAACCAATTTGGAACAAAACTCAAAATCATTTGGAAAAAAAAAGGGAGGGGACCACCAACTTTGCTGGTCTGATAAAGCCTGGTGGACCCACTGAGACTATGGCCCCTAGCTGCCTTTCAGGTCTGGAATTGAACCCACACCTGTGGCTTCCAGCCAAACAAAAGACAGGCATATAAATTGAACACTTACCTAAGGTAGATACACTCCTTGGAGAGAACAAGAAAGAAGGGCTGCTTATGCACAGGGAGACAGCTCAGGGGGCAGGAGTGCATGGAGGGATGGACACAGGGAAGAGGTGGCCATTGGGAGGAAGTGGGAAGGAAGCTGTTGCATTGGGGTAAATTATAGTCAACATCATGAGACAAAGTATATGTGAACTGTTGTATGGAAAGTGAATTTGCTCTAAATTTTCACCCAAATCACAATTAAAAAAAAAAAAAGACCGGTCCTCAGTGTAGAGTCATAAAATAACACTTTGGGGACAGGGTCTGGGATTTAAAGACCCTGTTTCAGCCAAAGTCAGGAAGAGAGATGAGTTGACCTCTTGAGGCCAAGGAGATGGTTTTCTGACTTAGAATTAGATCATAACTTTAGGGAGGAAAGCCAAGGCCCTATTTATTAAGCTCAACTACCAACCAAAAGGTTGGTGGTTCAGACCCACCCAGCATGCCTTGGGAGACAGGCCCAGTGATCTGCTTGCAAAGGGTGACAGCTTGGAAGACTCAATGGAGCACACGTGTTCTCTGCACACATGGGGTCACCATGAGTCGCAATCAACTTGATGACAGCTAATGACAACAACAGTTAAGCTCAGGGAACTACCTCCATCTCTCAATGGAGACTTCCAAAAATAACGAGTTTCTTTAGAGTCAATTCCAAATCATGGTGACCCCATCTGTGTCAGACTAGAGCTGTGCTCCTTGGGGTTTTCAGTGGCTGAGTGTTTGAAAGTAGCTCATCAGGGCTTCCTTCCAAGGTGCCTCTGGGTGGACTCCACCCTTCAGCCTCCTGATTAGCAACCAAGCACGGTAACCATTTGCACCACCCAGGGACTAGAGAAGTCCTGAGTACCCCTTCATTTTCAAAATATTTTGACTTCCCTTATCCCCGTTAATCCTTTAACAGCCATGTACATTCAACAAAATAGAAATGAACCCTATTTACAGATGAGAAAACTCAGTCTCCAAGGGGTTAAGTGTCATGCTTACTGCCATTGAAGGGCAGTGTGAAAACTTGAGGTCTCTTCTAGCAGCAAGCGGTCTCCCGACTTCTTGACTCAGGGACTTTGTGCTCCATAGGAAGCAGTGTGACATGTGCACCACCAGATAACTTTATCAGTGAAGACCCTAACATAAACAGTGTATTATCACTCAGGCTTAAGCTTTCTCTAAGAAGCTGTGGCGGCACACTGGTTGAAGCATTCAGCTGCTAACCACAGGGTCAGCAATTTGAACCCACCAGCCATCCCACAGGAGAAAGAAGAGGCAATCTGCTTCCATAAAGATTTACAGCTGTGGAAACATGAGGGCAGTTTTACTCTGTCCTATAGGGTCGCTATGAGTCAGAGTCGACTCATTGGTGTTGGGTTGGTTTAAACTTTTTCTACCATAAATCCGGGGATAGAGTGATCTGTGAAATGAAAGAAAATCTTTGAAACCAAGCTCAGTGGTGTACTAGTGAGGAAGGAAGACCTAGTTCAGCATCCATAACTTGACCTTGCTTTGTGCTAATCATGTCAGCGACCTCACAGCTTGGCTTCTTGCTAAAATCTCAGTGAGTTGTGCCCAGACATGCCTCTCTTAACTGAAGAATGGCAAAACCTAAAATATGTGCATGTGAACAGCGCCTCACTCTTTTCCTGTCCTTGTGATCTGGATCTCCCAGTGTCCCTAGAAACTGATCATTCAACATGCCTGTTTCAGGTGTGTTAGACCCCCTGATCATCCCCCAGAATTCTAGGGGAAAGACTGAAGGTCAGATGGTTATAGGTAGGACTGAGACTAGAGGAAGAACCAGCACTTCTGATACCGGAGTAGGGTAGGCCAGGTGAGCAGGGCAGCACTTGAAACAGGCACTGATGGCCTTCAGTTGGATCCAGGCAGTAGGGTTGGCTGGAGATGGTAGAATTTCTGGAGAAAGCAGATGGCTTTGTAGAAAATATTGACATAAATATTTTCATCATCATCAGTGAACATGGTTTGCCTTCTGTGTACAAGGATCTGCTGGTACATAAAATTGCCCTTAAAAAGGGCACATTATTTGATTTTTTTAATTGTGCTTTGGGTGCAAATTTACAAAGCAGATTTGTTTTACCTGCAACAGTTCCCGTACATTTGGCTTCACGCCCCAATTACCATCCCCAGCCATAAAACACTGTCCTCCCCTCTCCTCCCTGTGACTCCCCCTCCCTGTGCCCTTCTTATCTATGCGTTCCTGTCTGTCCAGCTTTCTCTCTCTGTGAATGCTGCCCCTCTGATGTCTCATGGCTGGTTGATCTAAGGGGTGCACCTCCCTGGGGTAGGTGTCCTGCATGTAGATCTTTCTACTGTTGGCTGAGAGCCAATCCATGGACGTGAGTCCATTTCTAGGCTTGAAGTATCCTTCAGAGGCCATAGTTTCGGGGGTTCCACCAGTCTCTGTCCGACCAGTAATTCTGGTCATTTTTGAAAGGGCACATTATTTCTGTGCACAAACTTGCCATCTCATTAGAGAGCACAGAAATGGAACCCCCAGACTTCACAAAGTGCCTGTCAGCAGGTGCCTGCACACCAAGGAAGGAAGTGTGCTGCTAGCGAAGGGGAGTGGACAGGGACAAGGGAAATGGTGATGAGGGGGTCGGTGGGGCCAAGGCTTATGGCAAATGCCAGAAGACGTGGACTGTAGGCACTGAGGTCGTTTTTCAGAGAACATTGTGTTTGAGATGGGGATCTGGCGGGATCCCCTCTGGCGTCTGCTGAACTGGCTCATCACTTTGTTTTGGCTCTTTCCTGTCACCCCCAGGCATTCCGCCGGTGGCTGCCATCTCTGAGCCCCGACCAAATCAATGTCGTCGTGACTGGGAAGGACCGCCTGACAGCTGGCTTGGTCAACATCGTCAGTTTTGACCTTCTTAGCAAGTTGGAAAAACAGCTAAAAACTCCTTTTAAAGTTGTCATTATTGTAAGTGACTTGGCACAGGCTTTAAGTACCTGTTTTTCTGTGGAAACTTTCTTCTTCAAAATTCAACACTCTTTCCTATCTGTCCAGGCAGTCTCAGGGTTACAAACGAGATCCCTTCCTTAAGTGTGTCTTTAAGTCACGTTTGTAGGTAAATCGGAACAGATGCATACAGTTCTTACTTAGCCTTATTTCAGTACAAGAGAAGGCTCAAGCCTTTTCCATAATTTAAAAGCTGCACCTGCAGTAAGTGAAGGTGATTGTGATGAATTTGTTTCTTTGAGTAGGTTTGGCTCAGCTGGACTTGGCACCAGTTCATTCTGGTTTGACCCCCGCTGATAATTTGCATTTCCACCCGATATACTGAGTCAGCTTATCAGGATCCCCCGGTGATTCTGATAGGTCTTATAGGCATACAGAAGAATCACCCCGGGCTCTTGATAAGCTATCGATTCTGATTCAGTGTATCGGGTGCAAATGCAGATCCTCAGGGGAGGGTCCAGCCAGAATGAACCAGTTTGAAGCCCTGTTTCAAGGTAAAGGCAAATTTACATACCATTAAAGGGCAAGTATGAGTTGTCCATAAGTTGGACATTTGTAGCTCAGGGACTTACTGTAATCTCTTTTAGCTTCATTCAGTTCTAACTCACTGTTGTCGTGTCAATTTCAACTCATAGCAACCCCTCCTTGGGTTTCTGAGCCTGTATCTTACGGAAGTAGATTGCCCAATCTTCCTTCCAAGGAGTGGCTGGTGGGTTTGAACTGCCAGCCTTCTGGTTAGCAGTCACTCAGTGCTAGGGGAAGATAAGTCATTGTCTTATTTTGTGTAAAACTGACATTTCATGTCTCTCCAGTAGCATTTCTCAGCCCTGACTATATATTAGAATCTCCTGGGGAGCCTTTTTAAAACGTGACTCCGTGGATCTGTGCTGGGGGTTTCTAGCCCATCTTTCTTCCCAACGTGAGTCATGGAGAGGCTGGTGTGTAACTCCAGACTGCCTGGGACTCAGAGACCACACCTAGGTAGCCTCTTGTCAGAATGCCTCAGGTACACAGTTCTACAAATGAGTAAGTTTTCTCCCTGCCAGAATGAAGATTTCTCCCCTCAAAAACATTTTGATGCTTTTTATTTTAAAGAGGCCTTCACTAAAGTTCTTTCCCCAGATTTGACAGTATATCTTTCAATTGGTGGCTTTTTTTAACTCCTCACATACTTCATAAGGAAAGTCGACAGAGACTTGATACCCAGCCACTTGTGTCAGTACTAGAGACACAAATGTGACTCATAAATAAAAGTCTATGAGAAAATGAACATTTTCTCCCATCCGTGCCTTTGTCTGTCCAGTCCCCACCCTGACCCAGGTAACCACTAACAAACATTCAGGGCCAGAACATGTTAGCGATTCCCACTAAACGTCGATGATCATTTTTCCTCAGTGAGAAAGGAAACCCAGTGCCTCTAGATGATGTGAACGGTCTGGCTCTTCTTTTTCAAACTTGTGCATTTAAAAAGCCCATAGCATTTTCCTTCTCTTAAAAATAAAATTCTGTATTGACAATGACTTCCCAAACCTTGATGATCAGAATTCGGCTAAGTGTCTTTATCCAGGACAGAAAGAGTTGTTAGGAGGCCCAGAGAACTAGAGGCTCTCCATCATGCAGGTCAACAGGAGAACAGTGGAGACGCCGCACCGTGGCATTTCAACACTGGCCTAACTTGTGGGGATGCCCATCACCTCTTTGTTCATCTGATGTGTTGAGTAGCAGCCTGCACCCATCACTGAACTGTGCACTCAGGGTGCAGAGGTGAGTAAGGGCAGCCCTGTCTTCCGAGGGCTCATGGTCTAGTAGGAGAGACAGACACACAAGCACATCTTTAGAATACATTCCAACTGCTTTCCTCGAGGTGTGAACAAAGTACCCTGAGAATTTAGAGAAGGCACAATTGCTGCCTCAGGGAATGGACTGTTATGTGTTGAATGTGAGAACCATACTGTGTTCTGAGCAGAAGCAAACTTAAATTTTTATATTTTTTTCAAAGCCATGAGAAATGAGTCATTGAGAGAGTAGCTTGGTTTTATGCAGATAACATGTGTGACCTACATTTGTTCGCCAGAGTACCTTATTTTATGTAAGTAACGTGCACAGTCTACGTTTGTTTGCAAATTGCACCCTCCCCTCCTGAGGTCTTTTTGTAAATGCACTGTTCCAACTTTTTTTTCTCACATTGACGTTGCATGCTTATAAAAAGACCTCGTGAGGGGAGAACATGGTTGGCAAACACAGAACTTGTGCATTATATGCATAAAAATATGTACTCTCTGGTTTGGCACAAATCCAGGTTTGGCCTTAAAAACAGCATGAATGTGAAGTGAAAACACTGGGTGGAGACACGTGATGAAGATGGCTCGGGAGTGGGTAGGAGAGGCTGCCTTCATCTACTGAGCGTCTCTCCTGTACTAGGTCCTTTGCGTACACAATTACTAATCTTCCCATTAGCTTTTATAGGCAAGTGTTATCCCCATTTCTTAGTGAAACCAAGAATGGGAGAGGTTAAATAAATTGCCTGTAGACATGGTGCCAGCAAGTGGGGGAGCCATGGGGTGACGCTGGGCTACATCCGGCTTCAGAGTTCATGTTTTCCTAAGTCTGACTCAACACTGCACCTGCCCGTGGTGTTAGGGAAGCCATTTAACCACAAGTGTTGGTTCTTCGGAGCTCTGCTGGTACAGTGCCTAAGGCCTCTGACTGCTAACCAGAAGGTTGGTGGTTCAAACCCACCAGCTACTCTGTGGAACCAAGACTGAGCAATCTGCTTCCGTAAAGATTTACCACCTTGGAAACCCAGTGGAGGGGTCACTATGAGTCAGAATCGACTTGATGGCAGAGGGTCAGGGTTTTTGTGGTGGTTGGTTCTTCAGTTAAGTAGGAACCCAGTCCTTTTTTTTGCCTTCAAAGAGCTAGCATAGGAAGAAATACAGTGAAGGCTTAGTGCAGAACTTGTACAAGACGCTGCAGATACAGGCTGCTCTTTGTGGGTAATTGTTGGTATATTTCTGCTCTGTGTGAAAACATCCATTCCCTTTTATATTCCCTGTGCCTTTTGCTCTTCCTCTCCACAGACATCTTTTCCCTGTGATAAGGGCCTTGTCATAGGTTTACACCAGGTATGGGAGTGGGTGCTGTTCTGACATCTGAGATTCACCTTATACTCCTTCCGTTGTACTTTTTGTAGCTACAATGGGGTGAGAGGGTTTCTTATAGTCTGTCCTCACGGACCAATAATACCCAGCCATAATGGTGGCTGGTCCCACTGAGCACTTGCTAAGTGGCAGAACTGTCCTAAGAACACATTTACGACTTAGACCAACCCAACACTGTAGTTACTATTATTATACCATTGCACAGATGGAGAAACTAGCACCATAGCAAGGCCAAGAAGTTTTCCAAGTCACACAGTCATTTGGATGTACACCAAACTGGAAATTTTCCCCCAAATATGAACAATATATTAGTTACTTCTGTAGCTTTAGAGAGTATAATGCATTATCTGTTTGTCTATGCACAGAACACAGAGCTATAAATAATCTACCTCTGTTTTCTCAGCATGTCAGGGGAGCCCCTGAGACAGGAACCGTTTTTCCCTTCTCTTGGCTTCCTCCATACTTTGTTCACATCTCAGTGACTTGAAGGCATGTATCATGTTATCTGATAAACTGTCAGTGTATCTGGTGTCCTCGCTGAACTGTGAGCCCTGAAGGCAGGGACTGTCCTGGTCATCTCTGTGCCCCTGTGCTTCACACCAGTGCAGGGCCATGGTAGGTCCGAGCACGTAGGACTTGATGTGCACAGAGATGAGAGGTGTGTCTTACGAAGCAGCGACCCTCCTGTCAGTGGTTTCTTCGTCGCTGCATCCTGGGAGGGGGCTGGGCTGGGGGATCCGCCGGCCCTACTTTTTAGGTGGACAGCTGACGTCAGAGAGATGAGCACCTGTTCAGAGTTGAGTTGAGGAGGTGCCAGTCCTCGCCTCGGCCACGGCTCTGTCTGCCGGAATGAGAAAGTGTTGAGGGAGGCGTCCACACTTGGAAACACCAGGCCAGGGCCAAGCCTAGTTTGCGGTTCTGTGTCTGTCCGCTCACAATTTGGCCTTGTTCACCCACATGCTGTTTCTTTTCAGGATGAATCTCACTTCCTCAAAAACAGTAGGACTGCTCGCTGTCGAGCGGCCATGCCCATTCTGAAGGTGAGTGTTGCCAAGCCTGTGCCCACTCAGCATGTGGACCCACAGTCTTCCGCTGGAGCTGGCAAGGGGTCATTATTATTTGAGAGCAGCTAGCACACTCTGAAAGGAGCTCTGGTGGTGTAGTGAATCAGACATTTCACTGCTAACCAGAAGGTCAGCAGTTCAAACCCACCAACCGCTCTGCGGAAGGAAGATGGGGTGATCTACTTCTGTAAAGATTTACAGCCTCGGAAACTCAGGGGGGGTCGCTATGAGTCAAAATTGAGTTGATGGCAGTGAGTTGTGTTTTGTTTTGTTTTTTGGCAAGGGATCTCAGCAGAGCTGGGGTTGCAAACCTGGGCCTGCGCAGGCCGTGGATGTTAGCACTGATTTAACCATTAACCTGTGGCTGTGGAGTCTTTCCAACTCATGGTGCCTCCGTGGGTGTCAGAGTAGAGCTCTCCATAGAGTTTTCAACGGCTGTGATCTGTCAGAAGTAGATCCACAGATCTTTCTTCCAAGGCACTTCTGCCAGGATTCAAACCGACAACCTTTCAGTTAACAGCTGAGCACGTTAATCATTTGTGCCACTGAGGGACTCCTTGCATTGACTGAAAGCACCTCAACTTACAGCTTTGGAGCCAGTTTCATTGTCCTTCCTAACATCTGCTGAGGAGTGAGGAGTTGATGCTATGTCTGTTCTTCAGAGATGAAGGAAAGGCCACAGGCTCGGTTGGGACTGGAATCCAGACTCCCCCTGTGGCCTCCTGCCTCATCAAGGAAGAAGGAGGGGTCGGTCTCCTCTGAACAGCTCAGGAGAAGCTGTTTGACCTCAGAGCCACTTGCAGTGGCAAAGCTGTTTTGATGGCGAGAGCCAGGTGCTGGGAAATGAGAGTGAAGTACAAACGCAGAGCCAGGCCAGAGCTCGTGGGCATCAGCCAGAAGAGCTAGCAAATCTGAGATGTGCCTTCTAAGCCCATGCCCTGTTCCTTGGCCACCCTAAGCCTGTTTGATAACAGGAGGGCCAGTGTCCACTGTCCTTAAACTATGAGGGTCTACACTTGTGCCTGAGTGCTTGGCTGTTAGGAGTCCTGGCTTCTGAGAGGAACAGAGGATCTGCAGTGTAGGTTTCTGTCGTAATCTGAGGTATCCCAGCATGCAATACGAGTTGTGTGCCTGTGTCCTGGGCCCCCACCCTTGTCCAGTTTTCTTCCGTTTCTGGAGTAAGCTTATTCCTAACATGGAGGGGAAAGTCGATTCTTTCTCACAAGTTAGAAATCTTTCATAGGTGACTTGGGAGGAATCCACTTTGGTTGGTGTAAACTGAGCCAGCAAAAGCATGTGTCTGTCTTGTGCTCTGTTAAAGCAACCTTGGTGGTTGCTTTAAAGCTGCATTTAAAAGCTGCAGTTTTTAATTGCTTACAGAAAGCCTGAAGTTTTACCCAAAGTAACTTAGGAAAACCAATACGCTAAATGTTGCTTAAGCTCAGTAGTTGAGAATTAATCTCATGGGTCCTCACCGCCACCAAAAAAAAAAAACCACCCACAAATGTCTTTTCATTTCAAAGTGTTGTTTGTTTTAGAAACAAGTAACATGATATATCTTCTAAGACAAGATTATGTCGTAGGCCCCAAACTCAAAATCTCTTAAAAAAACTTGATCCTCTCTTCATGTATCAGTAGCTGTTTAAGGACACGGTTAACTGAAGTGTTTCTCCCGGGGTGGTGACCCTGCCTTTGGGGAGCATTATTATGTTTTCTTTAGAAAAATGTTAATAGACCTTACATGGTACTGTGGTTCCAGTATTACAGCCATAACTAAAATTAAATCTGTCTCCCTCATTGTTGAGACAAAAGAAATTGCACAATAGATAGATTATATCATTAAAGTTATGACGTGAGAGCTTCTTAGCAGCTACCTTGTTTGTATTGTCGTCTGGTTACGCAAGCCGAGGTCTTTACTGCTTTCTGAAATACGTGCTTCTGAGCCAGACCTTTTAAAACAGCATTTACATCTTTAATATCTTGGCTGTGTTCCAGAGTGACACCTTTAAAACAAATCTTAATGCTAATTAACATGCATTACTGTGCATATGCTATAGAACTTGGATGAATTCATAGTTTAGAATAGGACCCTTGCGCACCGCGTGCTGCTTACAGGGGTGGCTAGAAGCCAGTCTCTTTGGTCACGTTGACTTCACTTACACTGGACTGTTTGCAGGACTGGTGTGGGGGTCGGAGGATGGGGTTCTGTGTGGTTCTGTTAACCAGACCTTCATCTTTCTCTGCTGTGTCTTCGTCTACGTCAGAATTTCTCAACCTTGGCACTGTTGACATTTGCAGCTGGATCCTTCTTTGTTGTGGGGGCCCGGCCCAGGCATCGTAGCAGCGTCCCTGACCTCTACCTAGGAGACGCCCAGGAGCACCACCTAAGTTGTGACAACCAGAAATGCCTCCAGACATTGCCAGATGTCCCCTGGGGCAGCAAATCACTTCTCTTGCCCTGGTTGAGAACCTCTGCTCTAGACACTCTAAGAAAATGAATCTTACCTGGTGCTTTCTTTCCTTAGCCAAGTGAGTTAGCTGTGAAGTGTTCAGTTAATGCTGATTTACATAGTTGTATACGTTTGTATTTTTCTAGGTTGCAAATGACATGTGAATCCTACGTATCCTACATGGCGGGGTCTGGATTAAAATAGATGACAGTGATGACGACCCAGACAGGTTGGGCCCAGCAGAGAGCAGGCCACATCGCTTCTAACCGTTGGCCCACTATGTTGGTTTCTTTTCAAAGCCGGCTTTTCCCCACAACGCCCCCTCTGCTTTTTAACACTTGTTGTTGTTGTTGTTGTTGTTTGCCATCGAGTCGGCCCCGACTCATAGCGACCCCTCCTTGGGTTTCCGAGGCAGTATCACTACAGAAGTAGGAGTGCCCAACCTTCCTTCCGAGGAGTGGCTGGTGGGTTTGAACCGCCAGCCTTCTGGTTAGCAGTCAAGTGCCTTAGCCACTATGCTACCAGAGCTCCTTTTTATTCGCAGTGATCAATCACTCTCCAGTCTGGGAACCTTATGGGAGGACTGGCTTGCTATTAACTACATCCTATAAGTTCCTGACGGGAGCTCTGGTAGCATAATGGCTAAGACACTTGCCTGCTAACCAGAAGGCTGGCGGTTCAACCCCACCAGCCACTCCTCGGAAGGAAGGTTGGGCAATCCTACTTCCGTAGTGATACTGCCTCGGAAACCCAAGGAGGGGTCGCTATGAGTCGGGTTTGACTCGACGGCACATAACAACAACAACAACAACATAAGTTCCTGACAGAGAAGCCTGGAGTTCGTTTCCAGCACCTGGTTCAGCAGCTCCATCCCCACGGGCACAGAGGTGCCGGGGAATAGGTTTGAAATGATGGGCAGATTCTTCCTATTGATAAGACATGTCATTTTTCCCTGTTTCATTGAAATGGTTTTGAACCATGGCAAGCAGTGCTGCAGACGTCATTCAAGAAGCTCATTGTTATTTTATTGAGTCTGCATGAAACCATGCAGGAAATTAGAAGGCCTGGGTAATTGAACTGGGGAAGATTACAGCTGGAGAGATTTCTAGCAGTCACATCATGATGGAACCAGGGATGGCAGTGGCGGAGAGGGCAGAGTGCGTCTTGAGAATGGCAGATACTGGATAGTTACCATTTTTCTTTCCCTCTGTTGCACTTTTATTTATTTTTACAAGGCAGCGTGTCTCTTTGAAAACCTAACACCTTCCCACTCCTGTGACTTACTACACACGATTGCCTTATATCACTGCCATTAACTCAAGGTTACAATGGTTAACAAGCTGTTTCTAGACAACTGAGCTGCTTGGCAGGGTCCCTTCCCAGAACTGAAATGGATTTTACCTCCTGTAATTTTTGGTGATTGCATGTTCCAATGCCGTGAGAAGTGCCTTCCTTTTTTTGAATTTCTGCTTTCTTTCCCATCTTAATAAGAGGCTGGGTATTGGGTCTGCTGTCCTTGAAACAGCTCAGTGTGAAGGTAATGAGGAGCCTGGAGTTCCTTGTTGTGATTGACTGGCTGTTTATTTCTCTCCCACGCACCACTGAGCAGGCCACTGAGAACCAGGCTGAGTTTAGGGTAAACGGATTTGGCCCCACCTTCTTAAGTCCTTATTATTTTTTTAAATTTTTTATTGTGATTTGGGTGACAGTTTACAGAGCAAATTCACTTTCCATACAGCAACTCACATACACTTTGTCCCATGACATTGACTACAGTTTACCCTAATGCAACAGTTCTCCTTCCACTCTCTCCCCATAGCTACCTCCTCTCCATGTCCTCTCCCATGCACTCCTGCCCCCCAGCTGTCTCCCTGTGTATGTATAGCCCTTCTATTCTCCCATGATTGATCTCTCCAAGGAGTGTATCTAGCTAATATAAATGCTCAGCTCATATACCTGTCTTTTGTTTGGCTGGAAGCCACAGGAGTAAGTTCAATTCCAGACCTGAAGGGCAGCTAGGGCCCATAGTCTCAGGGGTTCCATCAGGTTCTATCAGACTAGCAAACCTGGTCCCTTTTTTTTTTTTTTTTTTTTTAAATGATTTGGGTTCTTAAGTCCTTATTACAGCAAAATGAGCTTGGAACAGGGATCCCTAGGCCTGAAATACTGTGAAGTTGAGTTAATAAAGGCCTTTTTTTTTCCCCTCCTCTAAAGAATATGATAAAATAGAGTCTTGTATATGTGTAATCCCTGACACTTCGTCCTGGGAAGAGAGTTCATGTCCTAAGAATTATTACCTGATTGTCATTTCAGCTTGCATGTCAGAAGTCCATTGTGGTAAAAGTTGGCCACCCCATCCCCACTCCTTTTCTGATGCCGAGGTCTTTGAATTCACTCATGTTTTTCTAGATTACTAAGTAGCGTCTGTCTGAATTTTTTTCAGCCTGTGACCAAAAAAAAAACCTCACTGCCATGGAATTGATTCTGACTCATAGCAACCCCACTGGGTTTTCAAAGCTATAAATCTTTACAGAAGCAGACAGCCCCATTTTCCTTCTGCAGAGCAGCTGGTGGATTCGAACCACCAATCATTTGGTTAGCAGGCAAATACCTTAACCACTATGCCAGCAGAGCTCCTTTTTCACCTTATAAAACCAAACACACTGCCATCAAGTTGATACTGACTCATACTGACCCCCATTGGGTTTCGGAGGCAGTAAATCTTTATGGAAATAGATTACCCCATCTTCCTTCCATGGAGCCACCTGGTGGGTTTGAACCACCAACCTTCTGGTTAACAGACAACTCTTAGTTAGGCACTGCACCACAAGAGCTCCTTTTCAGCCTAGAGTGGATATTTATTGATTACTTACATCATTCCAGCCCCATGCTGTAGAGTATGAAGGCAAACAGAGCCCACTCTTTGATCACAAGAGGTTTGTAGTTAGAAAAACAAATGTTGTATAATTCCATTTATATGTAATACCTAGAACAGGCAAGTCTGTCTAGACCTAAGGTTGTTAGTGGTGACCTAAGGTTGTTAGGGGTGGATGCGAAAGTGGGGGGAAGATGAACTCATTACTTAGGAGACACTGGGCTTCTGTTAACGGTGATGGAAACATTTGGAAATGGATAATGGTGAAGGCTGCACAACAGGAGGAACACACTGTCACTAAAGTATCCATGTGAGGAGTGTTGCAAGGGAAGATGTTCTATTACGTATGTGTGTACTACAAGAAAAAAAGGTTTTCGGTCTAGCAAGGGAGACAGTAGAAGGCACAATTTAGTGTCATGTGTTAGGTGTAAAGGTAGAGATCCACAGAGGGTGCCATGAAGATGGTAAGGACTTTAAGAAAGGAAGGGGATGTCTAAGTGCCCCCAGGCAGTGTCATCGGGTTCTCTGGTCACACGTAGTCTTTTTCTCTGATCACAGTACCTTCGCTCAGCAGGCCCACGTGTGAGCCACATAGAGTTCTGGAAAGGTACCAGCCTTCAGTGTTTTGGGGATACCCTTGGTTCTGAGATGATGGAACTTGAGAACTTCCAGTAGTCAGGGGCCCAGGAAGTGAAGGGTGTTGGTGCTGCATCCCAGGGGATTGTGCTTTTCTGGTGGCATCGACCTCCTGCCTCCTTGGAGCTCCCCTGTGTCTCCCCTGTGTGCGCTCAGCACATTTGGCTGTTTTCTTTTATTTGTTTATCCTTTTTTTTTTTTTCCTCTGTGTGTTTGCTAGGTTGCCAAGAGGGTGATCCTGCTGTCAGGCACACCAGCCATGTCCAGGCCTGCAGAGCTCTACACTCAGATCATCGCAGTCAAGCCAACTTTCTTCCCTCAGTTCCATGCCTTCGGCCTACGCTACTGTGATGCCAAGAGGGTATTTGTTCTCTCTTCCCTCTTCTGTCCACACATCCTTGACCCTGATCTTGGCACTTGCCTTTTTGTTTCTCCTTGGCCATAGTGTGGACAGAAGAATACTGGCCAGGGAGCTAAATGGAGATTCTGGTTCTCCTTGGCCTAACTCTCTGACCAGAGACTTTCCTAAGGGGCAAGATGGCAGTGATCCAGGCCATTGTGCTCAGTAAAGGGACCAGTGGCTAACGCTAGATGTGCGGGGCTCTGAGAGCCAGTGGCCCTTGCCTGAGAGAAGCACTGAGGTGAGCAAGGGGTGAGGCTGAGGCCTTGGAGGAGGAAGAAGGTAGGTGAGGTGGGGGAGAAGTATGAGCTAAGGTGACAAAATCTTGCCTGTGCTCAGACAACAGGCAGGAGCACCATCTTGAGCTGCTTTGTGTGGGCTTTCATCACTGAACCTTTGCTCATAATGGTGTCTCATTAGAATGAGTTGTGTCTGGTCTGCGGCCAGAAGCCCTTGACTTTCAGGTTACGTCCATGAATATAGTGTCGGTGGAGCAGGAACTTCTGGAGTTTCCATGTGCAGTGTGAGTTCTCCAGAAATGGCCATGGAAACCCGTTAGCACAAATGCCATTGCAGCTGAAATCTCTCTACCTATGTTTATTGGTCCACCATTCATCTGTCATTTTGTTGTACTGTAGTGGCTTGCATGTTGCTATGAGGTTGTGGCTGTCCCACCGGTGTTTCAAATACCAGTAGGGTCACCCATGATGGACAGGTTTCAGCCAAACTTCCAGACTAAGACAGACTTGGAAGAAGGAAGGGGCCGTCCACTTCTCAAAGAATTACAAAGTGAAAACCTTATAAATAACACTGAAACACTGTCTAATACTGTTTTGGTTACCTAGTGCCACTCTAACAGAAATATCACAAATGGGATGGCTTGAACAAATAGGAGTTTATTCTCTTACAGTTTTGGAGGGTAGAAGTCCAAGTTCAAAGTGCCAGGCTCCAGGGGCTGGGTAAAAGCCTCTCAACCTTGGGCTTCAGCCCTACCTCTGGCTCTCGGCCCACTGAAGCTGGAGGCTTTCTTCACTCAGGCAGCTGCTGACTGCTGAGGCTGACAGACCTAAGGTCAATAAATAAAAAGGCACAGTCCTGTTGTTAGCAAACCACATGACAGGCCATTAATTTAAGTCCGTTGAAAGTCCCAAGATCAGCAGAACATAGCAGGCTACTGAATGAAGACTTGGCTACACACAGGGTTCAAGTGTGCCACAAAGCTGGAGACCTTCCTCAAGGTTGCTTATATACTGGAAGCAGCCCTCATCTCTAAAGCAGCTACTCAGCTGCTCCAGTAGATTCCACCATAGAGTTAATTACTAGTTGCACCATGGGGAATAACTACATCCAGCTGCCCAGCCACTCAACCAGGCCCAGCCAAGTTGATACACAAACTAACTACCACGAAAACATTACTGGAAAATTTCATGAATAGCCCTGAAACATTGTCTGACACAGTGCCCAAAGATGAGCCCCTCAGGTCGGAAGGCACTCAGATTATGACTGGGGAAGAGCTGCTTTCTCAAAGTGGAGTTGACGTTTATGATGTGGACAGAGTAAAGCTTTTGGGACCTCCATTTGCTGATGAGGCATGACTCAAAATGGGAAGAAACAGCTGCAAACATCCATTAATAATCAGAACATTGAAACGTACGAAGTATGAATTCAGGAAAATTGGAAGTTGTCAAATATGGAATGGAATGCATAAAAATCAATATCCTAGGCATTAGTGAGCTGAAATGGACCAGTTTTGGCCATTTTGAATCAGACAATATATGATCTATTATACCGGAAATGAAAAATTCAAGAGGAATGGCGTGGCATTCATCGTCACAAAGAGTGTTTCGAGATCTATCCTGAAGTACAGTGCTGTCAGTGATAGGATCATATCCATACGCCTACAAGTAAGACCAATTAATACTACTGTTATTTAAATTTAGTTACCAACCACCAAAGCCAAAGATGAGGAAATTGAAGATTTTCACCAACTTCTGCAGTCCGAAATTGACCAAACATGCAATCAAGATGTGTTGATTATTACTGATTATTAGAATGTGCAAGTTGGAAACAAAGAAGAATCACCAGTAGCTGGGAAATAGTGGTCTTGGTGATAGAAATGATGCCAGAGATCACATGATAGAATTTTGCAAGACCAATGACTTACTCATTGCAAATACTTTTTTTTTCAGCAACATAAATGGTAGCTATACAGGTGGGCCTCACCAGATGGAATACAAAGGAATCAGACTGGCTTCATCTGTGGAAAGAGGTGATGGAGAAACTCAATATCTTCAGCCAAAACAAGGCCAGGAACTGTTTGTGGAACAGACCATCAGTTGCTCATATGCAAGTTCAGCCTGAAACTGAAGAAAATTACAAGTCCACAAGAGGCAAAATTTGACCTTGAGTATGTTCCACCTGAATTTAGAGACCATCTGAAAAACAGACAGGATGCGTTGAACACCAGTGACTGAAAACCAGATGAGTTACAGGATGACATCAAGAACATCATCCATAGGGCTGCTTATGCACAGGGAGACAGCTCAGGGGGCAGGAGCCCATGGAGGGATGGACACTGGGAAGAGGTAACTGTGGGGAGGAGGGGGGAGGGGAGCTGTTGCATTGTGGTAAACTGTGGTCAATGTCATGAGACAAAGTGTATGCAAACTGCTGTATGGAAAGTGAATTTGCTCTGTAAACATTCACCCAAATCACAATTAAAAAAAAAAAAAAGAATATCATCCATGAAGAAAGCAAAACGTCATTAAAAAGATAGGAAAGGAAGAAAAGACCAAAATGGATGTCAGAAGAGACTCTGAAACTTGCTCTTGAATGGAGAATAGCTAGAGCAAATGGAAGAAATGACAAGATAAAAGAGCTGAACTGAAGATTTCAAAGAGCAGCTCGAGAAGACAAAGTCAGTTTTATAATGAAATGTGCAAAGACCTAGAGTTAGAAAACCAAAATGCTGAACACGCTCAGCATTTCTCAAGCTGAAAGAACTAAAGAAAAATTCAAGCTTTGAAAGAGTCTGTGGGTAATATGGGTGCTCTGGTGGCATAGTGCCTAAAGCATTTGACTGCTAACCAGAAGGCTGGTGGTTCAAACCCACCAGCCACTCCTTGAGAGGAAGGTTGGGCAGTTTACTTCTGTAGTGACACCGCCCCAGAAACCCAAAGAGAGGTCACTATGAGTTGGACCCGGCTTGACAGCAGTGAGTATGGATAATATATTAAATGATGCAGGATTCATCCAAAGAAGACCGAAGGAATACGCAGAGTCACTGTACCAAAAAGAACTGGTTGATGTTCATCCATTTCAGGAGGTGGAATATGATGAAGAACAAATGGTGCTGAAGGATGAAATCGAAGTTGCACTGAAGGAATTGGCTGAAAAACAAGGCTCCAGGAATTGATGGAATACCCATTGAGATGATTCAACAAACAGACACTACGCTGGAGGCACTCACTCAGCTATGCCAAGAGATTTGGAAGACAGCTACCTGGTCAACTTGAGGAAGAGATCCATGTTTGTACCCATTCCAAAGAAAAGTGATCCTACAGAATGTGGAAATTATCAAACAATATCATTAATATCACACACAAGTAAAATTTTGTTAAAGATAATTCTTTACTTACTGATGAAGGTTAAAGATTACAGTCTTCAGTGTGGATTACATCTCAACAAAAGAAAACGGAAGTCCTCACAACTGGACCAATAAGCAGCATCACGATAAATGGAGAAAAGATTGAAGTTGTCAGAGATTCCATATTACTTGGTTCCACAGTCAACATCAATGGAAGCAGCAGTCAAGAAATCAGATGGCATGTTGCACTGTGCAAATCTGCTGCAGAAGTCCTCTTTGAAGTGCTGAAGAGCAAAGATGTCTTTTTGAAGACTAAGGTGTGCCTAACCCAAACCAGCCCTGGGACCACCAGAGGGCAGTTGTTGCTGTTCATGGAGCCACCCCTGGGTGCAGGCCACAGTCAGCCAGCCCCAGGACCAGTGGAAGGTAGATGTTTGCCCCTGGGGCAGGCTGGGTAAGCGAGCAGGAGCGGGGAGACCAGGAAATGAGCAGAGCAGTATAAAACAGCTAGGAAACAGAAACTTGTCTGTCAAGTTTTTCTTACTCTGATGGCTTGAGTGTTGCTGTGAGGCTGGAGGCTGTGCCACCAGTGGTTCAAATACCAGCAGGGTCACCTATGGTGGACAGGTTTCAGGGGAGCCTCTAGATTAAGACAAACTCGGAAGAAGGATGAGGCCATCTACTTCTCAAAGAATTGGCCAGTGAAAACCTTAATGAATAGCAATGAAACGTTGTGTGATATAGTGCTGGAAGATGAGCCCCTCATGTCTGAAGACACTCAAAATATGACTGGAAAAGAGCTGCCTGCTCAGAGTATAGCCAGCCTTAATGATGTACATAGAGTAAAGCTTTCAGGACCCCCATTTGCTGATGTGGCACATCTCAAGATGAGAAGAAACAGTTGCAGACATCCATTAATAATTGGAACATGGAATGTACAAAGTATGAATCTGGGAAAAATTGGAAGTTGTCAGAAATGAAATGGAATGTGTAAAGATCGATGTCCTAGGCATTAATGATCTGAAATGGACTGGTTTTGGCCATTTTTAATCAGACAACCACATGATCTACTATGCCAGGAATGACAAATCGAAGAGGAATGGTGTAGCATTCATCATCACAAAGACTGTTTCAAGATCTGTCCTGAAGTACAATACTGTCAGTGATAGCATAATATCCATACACCTACAAGGAAAGCCAGTTAATACTACTATTACTCAAATTTACACACCAATCACCAAAGCCAAAGAAGAAGAAATTGAAGATTTTTACCAACTTCTGCAATCTGAAATTGACCGAACATGCAATCAAGATGTGTTAATTATCACTGGTGATTGGAATGCAAATTTGGAAACAGAAGAATCATCGGTAGTTG